GGGGGGGGGGGTTTGGACCGATTTGGGCATAGGAATTAGCCCAATATCCAATTAAACCCCTTTCTTCAATTTCTTATTTTTATTTTTATTTTCTTTTCTTTTCTTTTCTTTTTTATCTTTTTCTTTAATTAAAAATCCTAAATTAATCTAAATTGTAAAATTAAACTAGTTATGTAATTAAAATAAATACAAAAATTACTTAATCCTAAATTAAAAGAGAAAAATCACTAATCTAAAAAATTAAAAGGTAAGATGTAACTATGAGCCATTTTTGTTATTTTTATTTTTTAATAAAACAAATAATTAACTAATTAATCCTAAAAATATAAAAACAAAACCTAAATGCAATGCATGGTATTTTTGATATTTTTCATGATTTTAATAAAAATTAAACGTGCACAAAAATGCAAACAATTAATAAAATCCTACAAAATTCTAAAAATGGCAAATAATTGGAAAAATCTATTTTCTTGGATTTTATAGGAGTAATTCATATAGCTCAAAAATCATATGCTCACAACTGCCCCTCTTTGCTCGGGAACACGAAGGGTTTTCGGGCAAAGATAAAATGAGCAATTACGAGCGATTTTTGCCCGTTTGAAGCTCCATGAGAAGCATCTTTTGAAAAAGTCTAACCGAACCTTGCTTCGGAGGTTGCCTACATATCCTTCGCTATAAAGGAATCAGGTCAGTGTAGTTCTGGAAGTTTTGGTAGCTGGTACTATCGAAAAACTGTGATTTCACTGATGCTGCTGCTGTTTCTGCTTGCTGAGCTCCTTATTACGCCGAAATAAAAAATAAAAAGCTAGACTAGCTAAGCCAATCAACTACGAGTTACAAAATCTCTATCTATAAACCTTCTAAAGCTTGATCTTGATTCTTGGATGGTTCTTCCTGCAGACTCTGATCTGAATCTTGATGCTTGTTAGTTTCAATCGCTGGTTCATTCTTCTTCAGCTTTTCGGATCAAGGGGGACATGCAAAACTTGTGTCTTCAATCATATCTTGAGCAGTCTACATCTTTTCTCTGCTTCTACACTAAGAGTTCAACTTTTTTTCTTGTTCTTCGTTTCTATTGTTTGGGTTGAGACTTCTTCTTTTGGTCATCTCAAACCTTATGCCTCACGGTGAAAACCTATTCGGGCACCAAAGCAAACAAACGAATGAAATTTTTCTGCCCCAATTTTTACTAGAAAAATTTCGTGAGTTATTGTAACAAAATCTAATCTATTTCTTTATTGATAGCAATTAAAATCGGGATTGTGTATCCTTGAGAAAAAGAGATTAGGGATTGGAGACCCTATATCTAAAATGAAATCAAATGGGGATCGGGGGCCCCAAGTTGGGAAAATTACCAGGTTATGCTGGAAAAATGATCGGGTTATACCGGAACAGAAAAATGGTCCTCAGGTTATGACAGGGAAATTCATCGAGTTATGCAGGAAAAGAAAAAGGTCATCGAGTTATACTGGGGAGGTCCATGGGTTATGCCGGGAAAGCCATCGGGTTATGCCGGAAAAGAAAAAGGTCCTCGAGTTATGCCGGAGAGGTCCACAGGTTATGCCGAAAAAGTCAGCGGGTTATGCCCGGGAGGTCCACAGGTTGCCGGGAAAGTCATCGGGTTATGCCGGAAAAGAAAAAGCTCCCCGAGTTATGATGGAGAGGTCAACGGGTTATGCCGGGAAAGTCATCGGGTTATGCCGAAAAAGAAAAAGGTCACCGGGTTATGCCAGGGCGGTCCACGAGTTATGCCGTGAAAGTCATCGGGTTATGCCGGAAAAGAAAAAGGTCCCGGGGTTATGCCGGGGAGGTCCACGGGTTATGCCGGGAAAGTCATAGGGTTATGCCGGAAAAGAAAAAGGTCCTCGAGTTATGCCAGGAAGGTCCACGGGTTATGCCGGAAAAGTCATCGGGTTATGTCGGAAAAGAAAAAGGTCCTCGGGTTATGCCGGGGAGGTCCAAGGGTTATGCCGGGGAAGTCATCGGGTTATGCCGGAAATAAACTAGGGAGTGGAACCTTGTAATGGGAAAGACTACCAGGTTATGCTGAGAGTGACTAGGGAATGAGACCCTATGTTGGGAAAACATAGCTAGAGATTGGGGACCCTAGGCTACCATGATTTTGAATCTTTTTTTAACTTTTTATTTTATCAAGGAGAATGAATGAAGAGTTTAAAAGGACTTCCCTTTTCGGGTCAACTCTTGCTGCAGAACCGTTTTGGTTTTTGCATGTCTTGCTTTTATTGCACCTGCTTCTTACAGGGTTGTTTTGGACTGCACCTGTTTTCCTATTTTCAAATCATAGAACAATTCGTCAGTTTGAAGCGGTGGTTAGTTTTGTGGACTTGATTGTTTTGATCACTTGATCTTGGCCCAACTCTTTCGATGAAAATCTCCATTGCTCGCTGGCTTTCTGGAAATCTGTCTCTTTTCTAAACCCAGGGATTTGAACTTTTCAAAATTTCACATGATGGTTAGCCCGTGTGGGGCTTTGGCCTTTTCATCTTATTTTGCCTTTAGGGGCACTTGACTCTGGATTTCTTTCCTTTTCAATATTTTTGAATTTGGAGCATCGGCCATCATGACTAGTCGAGATCGACTTGATGCACCTGCTGAGGCTGGGTGCTTTTCCTTGAATTTTGGCTTTTGTTAGGTAGAACCCTGTAAAACCAATCTTGCCATCTTTTCTTTGATTTAGTTTCGGAGAAAGATTAAACCGAAAGGGATTCAAAGAAAAGTAAACAAAGGAGAAGATAATGAATTTAACGAAAAATGTCCCTTTCGGGGGGAAGGACAGAAGGACTTATCTGGAGTGCATGCAGACTTCAATAGACAAGACATGCTTCTTGGACTGGATACTCGATCTGCGCAACCATCCAATCTCTTATAAACCCATCATAACTCATATCTTAAAACCGAGAAACCTTACCAGGACTCTATCAGTGCGGATGGTTGTAAGGAATTCCTTCTTTTCAATCAATGGCACCCTTTACGAGTTTTCACCAACTGACCTCTCTCATTTATCTTTTCACCGTCGCTTTATAGTGCTCTTTGCGAGTTTTCACTAACAAGACTCTCTCATTTCAATTTCTCTTCTCACCATTGCTTTTCGGCGCCTGTGTGGGTTTTCACCAATAAGACTCTCTCATTTTATTTCTCTTATTTGATTGTATCAGATCCAAATAACCAACATCCTCCCATTTTGAACTTCTTTACCGATTGATCACGAAGGGCTTTGAATAGGATTTTGGGTAAAAAGAGTTTGGATTGAATTACAACTTTGGAACCTTTCAGGCGACTATCGCTGAACCAGTATAAATTCTGCCCCAGTTTCAACTTTTGGGGAAATATGGATTTTTGTTTTGGTGTGACTGAACCCCAGAGAGAGGCTGCCTACGTATCCTTTCGGAATCAAGTCGAACATAGTTCAGGGAAACTTTGTTTTTGATTATTTTTTTATTTTATTATTATTATTTTTTTGTTTACAAACGTTTTCAGGTTCCAAAGAGGGTAATCAAAGAAAGGTAACCTGCTCAAAGGATTAGCAAAGGGTTAAAGTTTTTGGGTAGCGAGAATGAAAGCCTTCATCAAACAACAGGAGAATCTTGGTATCACAGAATGATTAAACATAATACCTTCTGACCGCATCTGCATTGACAGCTGTCTCAAGGTCATTTCCTTCAATGTCTCCCAAGTACAATGCCCCTTTCCGCAATAATTTTCTTATAATGTATGGACCCTTCCAGTTTGGAGCGAACTTTCCTTATGCTTCCTTGTGATGCATGAGAATATGTCTCAGAACGAGTTGCCCCACTTCAAAATTACTAGGCCACACTTTCTTATTGTAGGCATGAGCCATTCTTTGTTGATACAATTGCCCGTGGCAAACTGTGGCCATTCGTTTTTCATCAATCAGGGTTAGCTCTTCTAGACGGGTCTTGACCTACTCATTATCCTCAATCTCAGCTTCAACGATGATTAGGAGAGATAGAATTTCAACTTCTGCGGGTATTGCGGCTTTAGTGGCATAAACCAATATATAGGGTGTTTCTCCAACTGATGTGCGCACAGTTGTGCGATATCCCAACAATGCAAACATCAATTTTTCATGCCATTGTCTAGATCATTGAATCATTTTTCTAAGAATCTTCTTGATGTTCTTGTTTGCTACTTCAACAACACCATTGGCTTTGGGCCGATAAGGGGTAGAATTCCGATTCGTGATCTTAAATTTTTCGCATATCTCCCTCATCAAATGACTGTTTAGGTTTGCAGCATTGTTTGTAATTACAATTTTAGGAATATCAAAACGACAGATAATGTTGGAATTCATAAAATCCACCACTGCTTTCTTAGTGATGGCTTTGAGAGTGACAGCTTCGACCCACTTTGTGAAGTAGTCAATGGCAACTAGTATGAATCTGTGCCCATTTGAAGCTTTTGGCTCGATTGGCCAAATGACATCCATACCCCAAGCAACGAATGGCCATAGTGCTGACATAGGATGTAATTCTGAAGGTGTTGCATGAATCAGGTCACCGTGCACCTGACACTGATGACACTTTCAAACAAAACTAAAGCAATCTTATTCCATAGTCATCCAGTAATAACCTGTTTGAAGGATTTTCTTTGCAAGGACGTATCCATTCATATGGGGTCCACACACTCCTACGTGTACTTCATTCATGATTCTTTCGGCCTCTTAGGCATCCACACATCTTAAAAGGTTGAGATCTGGAGTTTGTACAAGACCTCTCCGCTCAAGAAGAAACCACTGGAAAGCCTTCTAATAGTTCTCTTTTGGTCTCCGCTAGCTTGCTCGGGATATTCTTTTTCTTCCAAGAATCTTTTGATATTAGGATACCATGGCTGAACATCAGGCTCTATTTCAATTGCACTGCAATAGCCATGTCTTTCTCGAATTTGGATTTCCAGTTGGTCAATGTGGACATTTCCTGGATATGGCAACATCGAGTCCAAAGTAGCTAGTGCATCGGCTAACTCATTGTGAAACCGAGGAATGTACCTGAATTCGACGGATTTGAACCATTTTCTAAGATCTTCCACATGTTTCCTGTATGGAAGAAGTTTGACATCTCGAGTTTCCCATTCACCTTGAGCTTGTCGGATAATCAAGTTAGATTCTCCCATGATAAACAATTCTTCCACATCTTGATCGATTGCCATGTTCATGCCCATAATGCAGGCTTCATACTCGGTAGTGTTGTTCGTGCAGAAAAACTGAAATCAGGTTGTGGTCAGATAATGCTGACCAGTGGGCAAAATCAAAATTGCACCAATCCTGACACCTTTTGCATTCACAGCTCCATCGAAGAACATCTTCCAAGAATTAGTGTCCTCTGGAATTACCTCAACTGAATTTACTTCCTCAACCGAAAAGTAAGTACTTAGAGGCTGATATTCATCATCAACAGGTTTTTCAGGTAGGTGATCTGCTAAAGCTTGAGCTTTCATTGCCGTGCGGGTGACATAAACTATGTCAAACTCAGTGAGCAGGATTTTGCCATTTCGCTAACCTCCCTGTGCGCATCGACTTTTGGAATATGTACTTCAATGGGTCCAACCTGGTTATGAGGTAGGTGGTATAAGCCAACAAGTAATGCCTAAGCTTCTGATCGACCCAAGTTAGGGCGCAACAAGTTCTTTCCAACAAAGTGTATTTGGCCTCATAACTAGTGAACTTCTTGCTTAAATAATATATGGATTGTTCTTTCTTCCCGGTCACATCGTGTTGCCCGAGAACACATCCAAAGGAATTTTCTAAGACTGTCAAATATAAAAACAAAAGCCTTCTAGGTTTGGGTGGGACCACGACTGGCAGATTCGACAGATATTCTTTGATTTTGTCGAAAGCATCTTGGCACTCATCTGTCCATCTAATCGCCGCATCTTTCTTCAACAGCTTAAATATGGGTTCACATGTGAAAGTCAACTGAGCAATGAATCTGCTGATGTAGTTCAACCTTCTCAATAGACTCATAACCTCTTTCTTGGTTCTCGGAGGAGGCAAATCCCGAATAGACTTTATCTTTGTTGGATCTAACTCGATGCCCTCCGACTAACTACAAACCCCAAAAGTTTCCCGGATGGTACTCTAAATGCACACTTAGCTGGATTTAACTTTAAGTTATACTTACGCAGACACTCAAAGAACTTCCTCAGATCCCGAACATGGTCATCCTGCGTTCTTGATTTAATGATCACATCGTCCACATACACCTTGATTTCTTGGTGCATCATATCATGAAAGATGGCAGTCATAGCTCTAATGTAAGTTTCCCCGGCGTTCTTCAAACCAAAAGGCATGACCCTATAATAGTAAGTACCCCAAGGGGTGGTGAAGGCTGTTTTTTCTGCATCTTCTTCATCCATCAAGACTTAATGATACCCAGCATAACAATCCACAAAAGACTGTATCTCATGTTTGGCACAGTTGTCAACAAGGGTGTGGATGTTTGGTAATGGGAAGTTTTCCTTAGGGCTTGCTTTGTTCAGATCCCGATAGTCAACACACACTCGGGTTTTCCCATATTTCTTTGGAACTGGGACCATATTAGCCAACCATGTGGTGAATCGGACTACTCAGATCACACCCGCTTTACTGCTTGGTGACCTCTTCTTTGATCTTGTCACTGATGTCAGTTTTGAAATTTCTCTGCTTTTGTTGGACCGGAGGATAATTGAGGTAAGTTGGCAATTTGTGTACTACTAAATCAACACTCAATTTTAGCATATCATCATAGGACCAGGCAAACACGTCTTTGAACTCGAACAAAAGTTGGATCAGTGCATCCCTAGTTCTTTCATCAGTGTGAATGCTTATCATGGTTTCCTGGACCTATTCTAAACTACCCAAATTAAGTGGCTCAGTTTGATTAAAGTTTGGCTTAGGCTTATTCTCAAATTGTTCCAATTCTCGGTTTATTTCCCTAAAAGCCTCATCTTCATTGTATTCTGGTTCGTGATTCATTATTTCAAAATTAGACAACATGTTAGGATCTGGGCATGAAGTCCGTAAGCATGTCATGTTATTTAAGTCCGCATTGTTAGAACTGAAAGAAAAAATAAAAAAAGTAACAAAAATCAGAAAGAGTAAAGAAAGAGATTCATAGACGATGAAATATTGATTTCATTTCATTGAATTTGAAGATAGAAGGGTTTACATTGGAATTTTAAAGACAATAAACTAAAAGAAACATTCGAGTTACACCTTGGAATAACTCGGAATGCAGAAAAAGTGGCAAGAGCGGACTACCAGGATTCCCGCTTGACTGGGAATGGAGTAGCCTTCCACTTTTGTAGCTTGGCATCGGGCCCCATATATTGCACCTTAGCAGTGCTCGAGCCTTCTCCTGGCTGGACCATGTGAGTCTCATACAACATTTGCCTCATGGCTTCACATATGTCTTCAATTTCTTTGGCCGTGAAGGCCTCATCTTCTTCCTCTATATACCTTGGTTTAACAAAAGTTCTGGCGAGATGCGAAACCGAATGAGGTAGAACCCACCCATCGTTCTTACGTTCTTTAGCCCATTTCACATCAGCTTCTATAGCTTGAAAACCGACACCAAAGAAGCTCTTACTGGCAGTCAAGGTGATGGGCTCTGTAATGCTTTGCAAAGATGCCCCGATCCCTTTCCCGGGCTTGTAGCCATGCCTGATCATCTCACTGGCAACCATGATTGATGCGTTGGACAAGAAGGGTTGAGGACACAGGGTTCCTTCCTCACATTGGTCTGCGACCATGATAACTAGGGATTTTGACGCATTTTATACTCCTTTTTGCTCATGCTTTGATTAGAAACTCATACAATATAGTCCCAAAAGGCTCATAAGTTGTGCTTGATTGCAGGTTTGATCAACAAAGAGATAAAATGTCAAAGATCATCTCAAAAGGAGTGAAACTTGCACAAGTATCAAAGACAAGACAAGCTCATGCAAAATAGGTCCAGTGCGGCCGCACACCACTTTGTGCGGTCCGTACTAGGAGGTTTAGAGAGAAAGTATTCAGGCTAAAAGGAAATGTGTCCGCACTAGATTTAGTGCGGTCCGCATTGGAGTCCATGCGGCCGCACTACCATTATGTGCGGTCCGCAGATCCAAGATTCAGAGAAGTTGCGGTTTGGAGCTTTCAAGCCAATGCAGTTCGTAGTGCATTTTGTACGGACCGCACTAGAAGTCACCGCGACCGCAGTCCATTCTGTGCGGTCCATGGAGCCTGAGTTCAGAGAGTTGAAGTTTGGAGCCAAGAGTCCTAGTGCGGCCGCAGTCCATTCTGTGCGGTCCGCACTAACCCTGCAGGAGCATTTTTGTCCAGATTTTTCAGTTTAGTATAAATAGATCCTTTTTCCATTTTTAGGTCATCAGATATTGTAATAGTAGATCTGCGCTCGTGGGTCGACTTTTCTTAGTCATTTTGGGCGACTTTAACTACATTTCAATATTGAATCTTTTTATTTAGCTTAGCAATTAATTTAATATGTGTTTATCTTCATCTATTTCTTGTTTTTCTTCTTTGAATATGAGTAGCTAGACCCCATAGCTAGGGTTGTGGCTCAACCCTAGTGTGGATAATTGATGGGTCTTGTATTTTAGGGCTAAATTGATTATGGATGTTTGATATTTGGGTCAATTTTATGGTTAATTACTAAATTAGTGGTTGCAAACACTAGTTTTTGTTTAGTTGACTAGGGCTCTTCTTGAGAAAGAGAACCTAAGTCTCCGAAATTGATCCAACAAGGAATTAGAGCGTACTCAAGAGATTGATAGCCCCAAATTAAAGGGTTAAACCTCGAGAGAGTAATACCCGACTTGAACCCTAAGTTGCTTATGCAAATTTGCATACCTAGTTGGTCTTGAGAAAGTTAATTGGGCAAAATAACTTAAACCACCGAGAGGTGTAGAGTGGGCAAAGTAGTACAACGGTTATATCATACTCCCCAATCATGTCAATTGTGCCATAGACTCAAGTACCCGCCAATTGACCACCTAGGCGGATGTCAACTACCCTAGTGCCCTTTAAACTATTTGAACAAACCGTAGTATTTAACTCTTAGCTTAATTTACAATTTGTAGTTTGTTAAAAATAGAATTATAAAGAAAACCCCAAAAATGATGAGAAGTGTAATTTGGAACATACACGCAATCCTAAGCTAGATAGATACTCGACTCAAATTCTAGCTCTCTGTGGATATCGATCTCGACCCAAAATTGGGTAAAAGCTGCTTTGACCCTCTCTCGCTACATAAGTAGTAGTGCAGAGTAGGCCGTGATCAGACCACAATCTCAAAATCTTGGTAGACTATGTGCTCGCTACATTCCATAGCCTCGAGACATGGGACTGACGGATCCTGGTAAATTGATTGCTCGTCTTCTCCATGAACCACAATTTCCTGATTTTCATGTTCAAACTTCACCATTTGGTGGAAAGTAGAAGGCACGACCCCTGCAGCATGGATCCAAGGCCTTACTAGGAGAAAATTGTATGAGGTATCCATGTCCAAGACCTGAAATGTCACTTCGAAATCTGCAGGACCGATAGTCAAGATCAAATCAATCTCCCCTATTGTATCTCTCTTGACGCCATCAAAAGCACATACACAAACATTGTTAGGCCTGATTCTCTCAGTCCCAATTTCCATTCTTTGCAAAGTTGGGAGAGGCAGATGTTAACCCCAGATTCGCCATCCAGCATGACTCTTTTCACATAGTACCCTTCACATTTAACTGTCAAATAAAGAGCTTTGTTATGGGCATCCCCTTCCGGGGGTAAGTCATTTCTGCTAAATGAAATTCGGTTGACTTCAGAAAATCATTCCACCATTCTTTCCAATTTCTCAACAGTGGTCTCGGCCGGAACATATGCCTCATTAAGGGTTTTTATTAGCACTTTCTGATGTTCACTCGAGCTTATGAGTAAAGAAAAAAGCCAGACCTGGGAAGGAAACTTCTTGAGTTGGTCAATTACTTCGTACTCCACAGTTTTCATCTTTCGGAAGAATTTTTTTACCTCTTCGGCACTGACTGGCCTTTTAAGCAGAAACGCTTCTGTTTGGCATTGTTCACTTCTTCCATTTTGAGATACTTCCCTGACAGGTCTGTTTCATTCACTTCCACCATGATTTCTTTTC